TGACTTGAAAGTGCAGGTTAACAACAGTAACGATCCATTGAAATCAGAATCTTAAACCGTTTCTTTAATAGTGGTGACGGAACTTCTAAAAAACCAAAAAATACCGAAAAATGTTATTATGAATATTGCCAAACGGGCTCAGATTTAAATGATTTAATAGATAATACGTAGCAAAACAAAAAGTTTTATAATTTCCCAACCGTTTTGATATCTGTAGGCACATACATACATACCTATACATATACAGTATGTGTTACACTAAGTTAACAAAATTTTCAAGAAGAAGGCTCCAAACACAAATTACAGCTTACCATTTCACGTCTAGTTATCGAGAGGATTTACAAAACTACTGGGTAGACTTCAGGACGAACTGGAAAGGTTTCGTCAATAAGATCACCCCCGGATTCGTAGCGGTAATATCGTGGAGATTTGCAAAGAACCGTTTGCGGACCCCACTTTCTTGTTTCGCGCAAATCTACGAAATCGAGAGAGCTGCCAATATTGCAATGTGGATAAAGCAGGTGCCTGGCATATTATGGTGGAGTGTCCACAGGTCAAGGATATTTGGTTTTTATCTTTAGCAATGAGCAGTGAAATTGTGTCTACTCACGCCCTTCCCACCATATACAAGATATGAAGTTACACCTCCCAGTAAAACAGACCTAACAAACTTTTGGAAAAATATGTGGAGCCATGAAAGTGAACACAATTATAAGGCATACTGGATCGAAGAAGAAGAACAAATACATGGTGATATTAAAGAACAAGAAGATTACATATTAACGGAAAAAGAGTTAAAACAAACAATTAAGCAACTACCAAACTGGAAAGGTCCAAGCGATTCACGACCCTACACAAACACTTAACAGCACAGATAAACAAAGTCATCCAAAATCCTACAGAATTTCCCACATTCCTCACTCAAGGCATTACATACATCACACCAAAAAACGCTGAAACACAAAACCCAGCCAACTACAGACCCATAACGTGCTTGCCAACCCTATATAAAATAATCACAGCCACACTATGCAAGAAAATAGACACACACCTCACAAACAACAACATAATAGCCGAAGAACAAAAAGGATGCCGAAAACACAGCCAAGGATGCAAAGAACAACTAGTAATAGATTCGGTCATCATGAGACAAGCAACAACAGATAAACGTAACATATACACATGTTATATAGACTACAGGAAAGCGTTTGATACCATACCACACAGCTGGCTAAACAAAATCATGAATATATACAAAATAAATCCAACATTACATCACTTCCTCAAAACAATCATGCATACTTGGAACACACAAATACTTCTTGCAACAAACACAGAACAAGTAATAACAGAGACGATAAAAATCAAAAGAGGGATATTTCAGGGCGACTCTCTAAGCGCGTTATGGTTCTGCATGTGTCTGAATCCACTCTCTAACATACTGAACAGAACTAACTACGGCTTCAAGATAAAACACGACAAACAAGAAGGACACAAAATCACCCATTTGATGTACATTGACGACATAAAAATATACGCTGCAACCAAATCACAACTGACACAACTGCTAAAAATAATAGAAAAATTTACAGTAGACATTAAGATGGGGTTTGGGATAGAAAAATGTAAAACCATGCACATAGAAAGAGGGAAACTAACCGAAGAAAGCGAACCAGAAACTTTAAACAACGAAACGACTCAACCAAATCCTAAAAACAGGGCTTAATTCAAAAAACCTGTTCAAAGCTATAAACACATACGCCATCCCTATTCTTACGTACTCGTTTGGAATTGTAAAATGGACAGATACAGACCTGGAAAACATAAACATCTTAACACGAGCACAACTCACTAAACATAGAAAACTACACCCTAACTCGGCAAAGGAACGCATCACCATCATTAGCGTATCCAGAATGTCGTCGAGGGGGGGGGGGTTTAGGATATATTTTAGTGCTTCTCGAATTTGCTTCATTTGTAAGTATACTTACGATTTCAGGTTCTAAACTAATCTGGAAGGAGGAATATGCATAGGAACTTAGTTTAGAACGAAAGGATATCTTCAGTTTGTGAAGATTATTTTCATAAGTATTATCAAAGAATTTATTTTGAATAGATAATAATTATAAATATAATATCAAACTCAAACAAAACATATTTTCGTATCATATTAGATATGAAGTAATAAATATATAAAGAAGTAAATATGAAGATAGACAGGCGGAGTGGAAGTTTCCTTTTTTTGAGAGCAAGTTCATCAAACACTTTCTCAATGTTTACAGCAATATGCCTGTGAATATTCAACAAAGCTACACCATTGAGGCGATTTTCGCTGATGGTATTTCTCAAATAAATTTTGAGCTGTCTCAGGGTAGAAAATTATCTCTCACTGGTGGCAGTTGCCACAGGTAATAAGGTAACTAATATTCTTAGTAAGATATTCACTGTTGGGAATATTTCTGGATGGCACATTTTCAGTGCGTCCAGAGCATTTTTTGGAGAACTGTGCGAGGAAGAAATATATTGCCACCAAACTTTCATTTCACCAACTGCTGCTTCCCCATCGATATCCAAGTCGCGTAGCATCATTGCTGTTTTTGTGGGTGCCCCGCAATATGCAAGTGCCGAGGCGAGAGCGCATCACCCAAAGGAGGGGGTTTGAACCCCCAAACCCCTCCCTTGTATACGCCACTGATCACCATTAGCAGACGAGAAGGAGGAAGAGGTTTAATAGACATAGCCGAACTACACTCAACACAAATACAACACTTAAGACAATACTTTCACAATCAAGAACACCCCATTCATGCAGCAATTATACGAGCAGACAAAGGCTACACACCCCTCAACCTTCACGACACAAACATCACTCATCCACACTATCAAACAACACAAGACAAAAAGGAACAATGGTTGCACAAACAACTGCACGGTAGACACCCACACATAGTACAAGACGAACACATCAACACGCTACAAAGTTACAAATGGCTACAAGACGGGATCATACAACCAGAAACATAAGGTTTTCTAATCGCAATTCAAGACCAAGTTATAGCAACACGAAACTACAGGAAATATATTCTAAAAGAAGACATGGAAAACGACAACTGCAGAAAATGTCACATAGCCAAAGAGATTAAGAGACAATAGATCACATCACCAGTGGTTGTAAAATACTAGCAGGAAAGGAGTATACGAACAGACACAATCTTGTAGCAGGCATAATACACCAGGCACTAATACAGAAACACAACACCAATATTGACACACAACCCTACTACACATACACACCAACAACAGTCATAGAAAACCAAGACATAAAAATATATTGGGATCGAACCATACACACTGACAAAACAATTACACACAATCGCCCAGACATCACATACACAGACAAGCATAACAAAACAACATACCTAATCGACATCAGCATACCAAACGACGACAACATTCACAAAAAACACCAAGAAAAAATTGAAAAATATACACCCCTCGCACAAGAAGTCCAAAGAATATGGAAACAAGATAAAGTTTTAATACTTCCCTTTATAATATCTGTTACAGGTCTCACACACATCACATTTACACCAAACCTACAAACACTACAACTACCACTACGCACACACACACTAGCACAAAAATCAGTTATCCTCAAAACATGTAATATAGTGCGATCTTTTCTACACTGGCAATAAAAATAACAATAGGTATCAGTGGTACTTGGTGTTCACACCCGTCCATTGATGTAACTCTACAAAAGTGTGAAATTAAAAAAAAAAAAAAAAATAATAATAACACATTTGGGTAAGGGTATATGAACCCACAGAGGATAGCGCAGTTGCAGAAAGAAATGGAAACTCTAACGGAAGAAATAGAAAAAATTAAGACTAGGGAAAAAATAATCATTGCATTCTTGTTCAGTTAAATTGAACAACAAGAAGAAAAATGAAGGATAAAACAGTAGCGCAGATTGGGGAAGAGAAATTTTTTAAACACAAAAACATTCATAAATATACTTGAACTACAGTAACAATAAGAAACGAGTAGGTATACTTATACACATTCAGTTTTGCAGATGATCAAGTGGTTATTGCCCAAGACGAAGAGGCCCTTAGTTTTATGATACGGTACAACAGCAACAGCAGGACTAGAAATAAATGTTAACAAGACCGAAGATCTGGTAACAGTAGACGAAAAGGAAGAATGACTAGTAATAAAAGAAAACACGAAAAGAAAGGCAGTAGAAAAGTTTAGATATCTAGGAGACGCCCTAATGGAAAATACACGCAGGGTAGAGAGAATAAAAATATATATTTTTTTTTAAATCTACATTCTTGTCCAAATCTTATTTATATCATATATGTATACATAATGTTTGTGATTCAAATGAAAATGACGATGTCAATATTTCTTGGAAATAATCGACAATAAAATATTTGTATAGGGCAGACACGAAATTGTATCAGACAACTACGTCTAAAATATGGGATAAAGACATCACTTGAAATACAAAGGTGAAGGTTTACATACAATGGTTCAAAGCATTAATGACATAGGCAGTCGAAAATTGGATAATAAACAAAAGAAACAAAAGCTAAATAGCAGAGGTAGAGATGCAATACTGGAGAAGGTGCTGTGGACTTACAAGACAACATAGAATAAGGAATGCGGCAATAAGATAGAATGAAAGTGCAAACTGACACCCTAAAATTCATAGAGGAGAAAAGACTCCTACCGTATGGACACGATGCAGTAGTAGTAGGTGGCTTAATAGAGTGACTGATTCGATAGGTAGAAGGAAAAGAGGAAGGCCTAGAAGATGATGGAGAGGTGAAGTCGATGAAGCAAAGGAGAAGAGGATTCCGATTTCAATGTTTTACAAAATAATTTGCAGTTACGATACCTAAGCTAATTTACTGCTAGTATATACCAGAAGCTCTTGAACACATAATTTAGCATAGCATCTGTAAGGACAAGTAAATTTCGGTGCTACTTACTTTGGTCAATATGGTTCCAGTGCAAACTACATCCTTCCGGAACTGAAAAAAAATAAATGAAATTAGAAAATAACGAAATGGCAACAATTACGTCTTAAATTACTCTGAACAAATCAGATTAATACATTTTGAAACTATCGAATTCCCCTACTAAGAGCTACGTGCGGATATAATCCAATGTCTTATTCTAAGTTGCTGTAGGAAGCCATGATTAAGTTTTTAATTACCGGCTGACTTAGTAAATTCTAGTTTCTAATAACTTTAATTAAACAATCAATGCACTATAATTAAGTGAGGAAATAACGTAATCACAAAATATACAGTACTCTCAATGTATGCCGGGCCATATTAGGTATAATTATTATTGGAAAATGTTTACAACAGTAAAGTAGGTACTCAAGGCAAATATTTAAATCATTTGCGAGGGGAAGGTTTTATGTATAGTTTGGACAAGGATGCGGTAAAAAGCAATTTTTCTGCATATCAACCAATTGTAATTTATCTGCACTGATAATTTTTTGAAACCATTTTCCTCATCTTGAAAACTTTAGCGATAAATTTAAATGTTAAAACCATTTGTTCTTGGCATCGTTTCTGATCTCAAAAGGTCTATTTTGATAACCAGCAAATGGTTAATTATTATTTACTCTATTCAGAAAAATTTGTAAGGCTTTGATTACTTCCTTACGTTTTATAATTCAAACGAATCTGATCCTTCCATAATTCCTTCTTTAACTATCACACAGTTTATTTGAGTAATAGCCTGTAATTTAGGCTTACTGTATTCTTAATTGCCTCATTACATCTATCTAAACCCTTTTCCAAATTAAGTAATTTACAAACATTTTTAGATAATCAAAGAACAAATGGACATATGTGTGTGAATCATTGGAGAATATAACACCCGCTTGAGATGAAATCGTCACCTAACAAGGAATATTGTACGTTTGATTTTCTTACATGCAGAACTACTTCAAATTCATAAAGAATACGTGCGATCATACCTTCAAAGAATCTTTATCTTTGGTTTTAGCAATAATTTCATTTCATGCCGATAAATGTTTACATTACCTTGCAATTTTTGATGTGTAGGCATACATTAATAATGTGATTAAAGAGCAGATTGAAAATGGTCAAATGAATTTATTGTAGAGAAGTGTGTAAGGATTCAATGAGACTTTTGTATCCTTGTTGCAGTTCATAAATTGTTTTCCGTTTATTGAGATTGAGCGCAATGTCTTCAGTGTTTTAGTGGCAATTATAAATGTTATATTCCGTGTAAACTTTACTGTGTGTGCATTAATGTGATTAAAAAACGATAAATTGACCGTGAATTGTTTTAAACAAACGACTTCGTTTTGTTTAGTTATCCATTATTTGTTTACATTTACATAAGTTCTATTAATCTATTTTAAACTGGTTTTCCAGTAAATATTATTCAAAACTCTAATACGTTACGCTTGTAGGTATCTAATAAAATACATGAATGCTCACAGCACAATTTTAGGGGTGGACATTGCGTAATTATTCGCTATAATATCCACATTATCGTTATCTGTAAACTGTTGATGATTTTTCAACAGATGAGTAAACGTAAACCAATTTTTTCAAAAATGAAACATTTATGGGATTTGCGAGTATTTATGTACCTACTTATCAAAGCTTCCGTATATACAATTAAAAGTAGTGTTGAAATGAAAACCGAATGGAATTTGCAAATAACTACTACTTTATAATCACGGCCACTTACATAATCTCCCATTCAAATGAGACGTTTAATGTTAATTATTGGCTTCTATGTATCAGGCATCGTGATTACCGATTCTCTGCAGATTAATAATGACACAGAGGAAAATGTCAAATTGTTACCAAGGAAATTATCTTTAATTTAACGATTCGGTGATCTAATCTTTGGGGTTATCGTCGAAGTTACTGCATGCAGCAACATTGGTATTGGAAGTCCATTATTTTGGGATTAATTGATATGTAAAACTAATAAAAATGTAAACTATCAAATATTTTATAGACTTGGCGACGGACATCATAAACAAGAACCAAGAATTTATGCTGCAGTCAAGGTAATTTCTTGTTCTGCCAGTTTTGTAAGGGAGCAGTATTATTTATTGCCGTCGACTAAACATGTACTAATTAGTAGGTAATATAAATATTCACATTCACTAGGTCGTGTTTAAGCAGAATTTTCAAAAAATTTGTCGCAATTCTTCTTAAATGCGTAAATCTGCGGCAACACGAACTAACTTTAAATGTAGGTACTTTACAACATGTGAGGGATTGCAGAAAAATTTAACAAAACTCGCTTTTAGGTAATTCTGAATCTGAATTTCCATAATACACTAGATGTAAAGGCCACAGGCTACTATTTCCTTATTCCTTATAGGGGCCATATTTTTTTACGGAATGATATACAGGACAAGAAAGAAATTCATTTGAATCCACCACCGTCATACCGATGTTAATTCAGCGGCCAGCGAGATCTAGTTACCCGTGGATGTTTTGTTGAGAAATGAATGTAAAACTTTGATTTTGAAATTTTTCTTGTAACTTTATGTAAAAGTATAGAGCGTAGTACGGTATTATTTGTTTTTGTTCTTTATCATTTCGTAAAAATCCAAAGTGTTTTTTAGTCACAAAAAGGGGCAACTTTGCCCCCATTTAACCAACACTGTATCTCTCACCGTTGAGGAGATCCCAATAGTGAGCCACGAAATTGAACCACTTACTACTTACCGCACATAGGACTATAAATCCGCACCGCTATCCTAACGAAAGGTCCAAAAAACCAACTCGTTTTTAATAACCTTATTAAACAGATTTATAGTTCCTACTGTTATTGATGCGAACGAAGAAAAAATCTGTTTATCATAACACAAGTTTTTTAAATTCAGTACATTTAAGTGCGTTTCCAAATGAAAAGCGCGTGTCTACAATTCGAAAATGTTCCCTTGGATAAATTTTTATCACTCGCAAACGAATGGCCTTGTTTGTTGAGTTAGGCTTCCGAATTTTAATGTAAAACAAGAGGTTCTCCGCGACTTCGTACGCTCGATATTGACGCATATATGATAACACAAATCCAGCATACAGAATGTAACCTGTCAAACGTTTGAACTGATTCGGTTTAAACTTTGCACAGTTGACCTATATGCCACAAGTAATAAGCCTATTGAAAATGGGTGAAATCCAATTACCTCTTGGGGTCACGCGACTCTGTCTCTGCCAAACTCTTGAACCTTGAACCTATTCGGTTCAAACTTTGCACAGTTGACCTATATGCCACATTCAAAACGTTGAGCATATGTGGCTTACATATGCTCAACGTTTTGAATGTTCGAAGTTGATTAGTTGACCTCTGAATTACGGATGAATATCCAATGTCGTCAATCCACTGTTGCGGAAACTTCACGAACTTGTTGGTCAGAATCTTTTATACTTGTTTTTGTCATCACATTTAAAAAGTCTTTTAAAAACTCTTTTCAAAGAAGGTCCTATCACTTTGAAAAGAAATACATTGGCGACTTAAATAATTGTCGAGTACCTATATATTGTCTCGTAGCACGTGGATATTAAACTATTTTTGTTGTTGCAAAAATTGGTTAATAAATGACTGGGAGAGCAAAATCGCAAACTAATAAAACGAAAGAACAAATCTTTTTTGTTGCAATTCATAATGGGCGTAAATCGTCTGTAAGTAAATCAAAGTGTACCCATAAATTTCAGAGGGAGACGTTACCAATGAAGTGTCACGCGTTTTTCGTTTATGTAAAAACGATAAACGCCATGAATTGCAAGATACCCGTTTTTTTATTAGAATATCTCTATCTCGACTATATCAGAGTAATTAGTTACTAAGTAGATTTCTTTGACGTACAATAAAATGAGACATTGAATTTTTTGTTATTAGTTGAAATTAGTGTAAAATTACTGTCGAAGGTGACATTTGTGCATTGAAATTGTTTAGTAGCAAATTATTCAGATGTAGGTGCAACCTATTACATTGTCGTTTAATTTTTTATTGTACATCACTTTACTTATAACTTTAACAATTATTTTACAATTATTACAATACGTTTTGAACACATTGTAAATGTCATTTTCCACCATCAACAGGATCTTCGGGGACCACCACATTCCCTTTGTTGGTGCTCACTTCCGACTCCCGTTCACAAGCACTTCGCATTCGGGTGGATTTCGCCAAAATAACCATCCACAAAATCGTATTCAATTTTTGGGGCATTTCTCATAGCTCGAGTCATTACAAAAAGAAAAACGGCGATTCGAGCTTTAAGAAACTTTTGCGCACCCGACGTCGACTACCCATCAAAGCGCGTCTTGCAAAATGTGGTTAATTTCGCGCCTAGGGAGTTGTGCGCATTTACAAAATCTTTCCGACGACACCAGTTTGAAAACAATCGAACCCAAACTGCAGAAGAAGATGGGAAAAAACTACAACCATCACGTTAATAAAAAGTGATTATGATGGAAGATGGACAGATGATCTTAATTAAAATTACAAACAACGCTCTTGTATCTACACAAAAAGTTGTGTTATAAATTAAACAGAAAATTAGACATTACCTTTGAAGTTCGAATAAACTATACAAATGATAACCAGCGGTCATCGATGACAGTGCACTTCCACATTTGTTGTAAAATACAATTGATCGTTAATCAATAGTGGTAGTGGTACCATTGTATATACATATACAATGGTTGTACTTAGCTGTTTTAAGTACCTAAATGAGTTTTCTGTCTTGTGTCGCAGTGTTCTCATTACACAAGGTCCTTGAATAAACCAAATTTGTAAAATAATAAAACAACGTACAATAATAATAATAACAATAATTTAGCATCGGGTAGGTAATTTATAATTGTTTTAATTTTCCCAATCGGCATATCATGTACTTTTTGTGGCGATACATTATAGAATTGAATCCTGCCAACCTCTTGAATACATCCAAAAACGCCATTTGTGGGGAGTGAAATGCCGCAATTTTGAATTTCATGTCCCTTTTTTGGTCTTTCCTCAATATCTCGAAAACTATCCACTTCTTCATATCCACTTATATTTACAAACTGATACCTCATTAAATTTTCAACAAAAAAACGTTCCCCACCCACAGATATATTTGATGGCACATCATCTTAGCATGACGTCTGGTTTGATTTTCATGGCCGAACTCTAAAATCAGGCATGTGGGAAGGCGTTTATTGACATCGCGGTAGAGAGACTAGACTTCCTGGACGTTCTGCGTATACATCTAGGTATATATCTCCCAAACTGTTAATGATAGGAAAACATTTTTTGTGCAAAACTGCAAAAACCTTTTTCCCACATTAATTCCCTATGTTCGGTTTTGGAATAGTCACCCCGTATAAGCAAAAACACAATATGATTCTTTATTACTTTATTAGGTATGTAATTTAAAGGAACCATCAATGAATTAATTTTACATATTGTCAACGCCTACTACCCCAAAATGTTAAAAATTTAATACCAAGCCTTTTTCATGACTTAAACAATGAATCATTTTTAACATTTTGGTGTAGTAGGCGTTGACAAAAGGTGAAAGTAATTCATTGATGGTTTCTTTAAAAGACATACTGAAGAATCATATTGTGCCATACACCTTTGTACTCGTAATAAAAAATGCTACTCAATACAGTGTATTTCTTTGCTATTCATATGAAAATATGAAGTTGATGATGATGTCTCAAGGAAGAAACGTCGCGGTGAAAATCTGTGAGCGCAATCTTGTAGAGCTTAAAAAGTTCATAGAGGAAGTATTATTTGGTTTATGATATTACAGAAAGAAATAAAAACGGATTTGGTTAATTTCGTTTTTTTTTTAATATCTTCGGAACTGATCGGAGTTTCCGGTTTTTTTAAGACTTCATTTTACTAAACCATAAAATACCCAACTTTCTTCTAATTTCACCGACTGTGTATCTGTTATGGTTTCCGATTGCCCCATCCCATGCTGTTCCGTCTTATCTTGGACTCAATTATCTACTTAGAAAGTTAAATCTAAATCCAAATTTCTGTTCTGATCCATGAGCAGGGGCGCGAGAAAAAATTCCAGACACGAATAAATTTGGTATCATGGTATCTTTAAACGACACGAGCGAGCTTGCGAGAGAGTGGAGTAAGTAATCCCGGGTGAATAGAGCTATTTGTGTTTTACATAATGATATGACGTTATACTGTTATCATTTCCAATGTCCCCAATGGTTGCATGGATTGCAAAATCTGTGAATTTTTTGCACCGTGGCCCCTGGATTCTATGTTACGCTACAGTGTGGTGTTGATAAAGTGAACAGAGAGAAAGAAAATCATCCCTCGGCGTTTATAGACTTAGTGCAAATTGCATAAAGACCAAAGAAGGCCGTGACGTTTTGAGCCCTGGCCTGGTTTAACACTACTCATGGATCTAACTAATCAACCAAACTAATTGAGGTTTTAACAAAACATTGTTTTCCATAATCTAGGTATTAGGAAAATGTAAGGCAATAATAAAACTAATAATTTTTTGTTCCGTATCATTTAAATACACGTATAACTATAGTCATTTCGATTACTCAATCAGAAAGAAAAACAAAAAACATTGTTTTACCTACCGTTTTATCATTAAAATAAAGATTAAACAAATTTGTTTATATTTACCTACGTATGTAAAGAACAGGCAACAACAGCTTAGTTTTGTAAACTTTTGACCCGAAAGCAACTCAAATTGCATTTAATTATAATCTGCAAAAATTACGTAGCGTAACTCTTGTAAGGAACAATGGGGAATTTAACGAAAAAACTAATAAATACTTAAACATATAAGATATCAGTTGGTCTACCTTTTTGAGTAACACATAGTACCTACCACCCATCATATTCAAGTCGTTAGGTAAATGATAATTTATGAACTACTGATAGCGTACTCTATTTTCCGTGTACGTTACCATATATCCGTTTTCTAAAAAAAACTTTCTAAGTTTGATAAAAAAACATCAATTTTCATCGAGCATTTGTCAGTTCTAGAAAATAACATCTGATTCTATAGACAATGAACGAAGAAATAACGAATAAAATTGCGGTTACATGGCAGGTAGGTAATAAAGTTTCTTATAATTGGTAAAGTTTTCTATTTTGATAACCGATTTCGAAACTGAAGTTTCAACATCGGCACGGACTGATAGAGCATTACATCAACAAAACATAGAATGCAAAAGTTCCTGAATATTGAATGTGGTAGAGTTTGGGTTTAAGGGTAGATCCGTTTGGGTTTTGAATATTATTGCAAATTGTAGGGTCTGGAAGTTTAGGTAATCAAATTGTCCGATAAAAAGTCATTTGTGGGGGAATTTGACTAATAAAATTTTAAACCGTGTGGAAAACGGAATCCGTCTTTTGTGCATCATTCAAATTTTAATACCTACCTCTTTTGATCTGTATGAATTCAGGTGCCACCATAGCGCATAGCTCAAATGTAGTCGTTTTTAATTAAAAAAAAACAGTACATGGCTTAGATGAAAGCTACCGTGGAAAACCCTGACTGCATAAATTTTTTAAAAATAATTATTGAACATAGAACTAGTTGGGATTGGTAGAACTAAAAACCTTAACCAATGGACATTTGGGCGGGTTTAATTAGCTAAAGATTTTCTGATTTCCCGATTTTGGCGCTGAGCGGACAGTTTCGGTCCTGAATATTAAAAAATTTAAAGAGTCAGTTATCAAAAGTAGACAATTGGTCCCCAAAAAAAGTGATTTGCCAGAGAGATTTAAAATAATTTGGGTAACACATTACTTAGAGTTTGGAAGTCAATTTAAAGGTATTTTGTCTAACAAAAGTGGCCACTATTAGTTATACAGTAGTAGTAAAAGAGTTGTAGTCAAGTACGTTTGTAAAATATCCTGTAAAAGGAAAGTGCATCTGGAAACCAATCAAAAGTTTTGATTGATTTCAATATATTTGTATGGCTATTTAGCGTTTTTCTTTTGCTAGCTAGGTACTACATAGAATTCAGAATTTTGTAGCGAAACTTCAGGGAGGAAAGGAGAGGAAGCTACAATAAGCAAACTAGACGAAAGAGGTAAAATTTTGGTAGATATGTTTGAGCTAGTCGAAGGCAAGTAATTCGTTTTATTTCCTTTTCAGAAAATACACTTTTTGCTTCACTACAAAGAAAAACAATTAAACGAATTAAGAGTTTCAACCCCATGAAATAAGAAAGCTTAATTCAAATTTCCCTCAATTTTTTCATAGAATAGTTATTTAGTCGGGAAAAGGTCACATTACTGGTGAGGAAATGCCAATTTAATATTCAAGTCAAGTAGTGTCATGTTACTGACGAGTTTTATATTAGATTTAGAACTTTTTGTGTGCCAGACATGAAAATGAAGGTTGCACGATAATTTCGAGAAAACTCACTACACGGGAATCTTGACGAAATAATCACTTCAAGAACAAAGTGTACCGGGGCCGAGTACCATATTAATATCAATCTAAGAGAAAAATGTCATCTTGCATTTTCTTCAGAAGCGAATTTTCCTTGAGACCAAGGCTACTGTGCAATAATTTGTCGTGACGAAATATCCAGCAATGCATTTTATTGGAGACAAATATTCCCTGAATGGAAATATGTATGCCGGGAGCAAACTTTTCAGATGAATTTACCGCAGACACCTATATCGGTATAACTTGTGGCGTTAGCAATTTATATCTAATGTGCGATATCTTTTGACAAACGCTATATTTGTTGATAATGGTACGTGTACAGAAAAGCTCAAATAAGTTAAACTTTTTGAAATCGCTTCTCTTGATAATTCACTTTTCTCAAGACATGTTTAATGTAGGTAATCAAATATTGAATAACAGGTCTCAATTTTGGAATGAGCGGAAAAAGTTACCTACTTCTTTCATTACACAATATGCATTATTTTAGACACGATTAAATCGTGCTGCTCTAATTATATGTATATTATTATCATAACTTCAGTTAAATAAACGATAAATACCCACGACAATATTTCACATTGTTAACAATCGTTATTAGGTACTTATTTAACTAACGTTTGTTAAAAATACGATTAAAATTAATAATGTTGTTTTCTAGCAGTCAGATAATATGCTAAATGTTTAAAAGCGCACAGCACACGTTGAAAGTAAATGTTGCATACACGGTATTCCAATGAACCCTTTACTGTAGTTGGAAAAGTAATTGAATTTCACTTTTGTGGTTTCTTCCGTAATACAAAATGTCAATATTAAAATGCAAAGAATATTTGAATGGATTAACATTATTTAATTTACGAGCATTATCAATGTCAAGTTTAACATTCTTATTTAATCACTTTTCAGATTACTCTCCTCGCATTTTAATACACTTTTTTTTCGAATGACTGCGATAGCAGTATCAATTATGAACTTTTATCGAAAAATATAATTATTATATGAGTAGTATCGTCAAAAAATAGAATGTTACGGTAAATGAACAATTAAATTTCATTTATGAGGTAAATGTTTCGATTCTATTCTTGGATACATTCTTACAATGCAATATTAAGGAAAAAAATGTGTTACCAGCGTGAAAATAATTGCGAGTGTAGTAAATAAAAAAATTGAAAACGCACCTGATGATATTATCACCTGAATTGCTAGAAGAATTTGCACGGCCAGCATCTTTGAATAAAAGTAAAAATAGAGCGGCAAATTTTCACTAAACTTAAAACTGTTTGTTTAAACTCGAATTATTCAACGGGAATGAATTGGCAGAGCGCCCTTTGCGTCGACCTAACTATAAACGGCTACTGTATCGTGTATATTGGGTACACAAAGTAAACTCACCGCCCACTCCGGATATTAGCTATTGAGTAGAACATTTACAAACAGTGACGAACTAATTTATTGCTCGTATTAATTTATTCATTAATAAAATTATGATTTACAAACGATTTTTTTGCACCTCTACGCCAAACCAGCAACCACCTTCCTAGTCTAATTTTGATTCCACCTGTGCTACAATGTAGGCAGTAGGCACGGAAAACTTATTTTTCGTCTTTCAGATAAAAAATCTTTTAAAAATGTGTAATTTTAACGTGTTATATAATTAACTGTTCTGAAGCTTACAAATTGAGCCATAATAATTTTTCGCTTTAGCCGTGACGCGCTAAAATCTAGATCCAGTATTTTTAAAGATTTTTTTTCAATAAAGTGAGCATTAAAGCGACATTCACTTGGGGGAAAAAAGTATCTTTCGCACAATAAATAATTTTACTGGCGGAGGCCCCAGCTTGATGCTTGTGCAGATCAGTCTCACCAACAAAAAGTTAAAAACCGAATGTTATATAGATTCACTTTAAATCATCTAGGTGCCCACTCTTTCCCTTCAGAGCGTCTTTTGTGTATTAAAAAGGGGCCAAAATAATGGTAAATGGAGCGAAAGTGAATAAATAAACCTTTTTTGATTCGACATATACGCTCTCAAAAGTCGAGTGTTAACCAGGCTTACTTGCATCATGTTCCTATGCTTCTTTTTTGACATTTTATTTCTATAAACATTATCAAAATGAACATGGTCGAGCGACGCGTTAAAGTTGTGGAAAAGTTGTACGGTGGACGTTCAAAAAAAGAACGTTTCGCGCCTTACGGCTTACGTGATTATTTCGGTCAACATAACCGGCCTGCCGAAACCACAATTGGCAGAAATTCGTTACGACAGGGATTGTGCTTTTTTTGTGTGTGGAGTAATAACCCCTTTTTTTGTAACTCATTAGAATGGTTACATTTTATTACCTCATTGAGTTCACTGTCACTTGTCAGTTAACCAATTAGGTACAGACATTATGATTTTGATAGTGTGAAAGATATATAATATAAATCATATATTTATATGTAGATATAGTATACGATAATATAGTGAAATATTTCCAGATGATATTTGACATTGTATATCTAATAGCGCTTTGGCCAGCGGTGAAGATGTCAATATCTACAGATGCCCCACAATCGGCCTGTTGAATTTAAATTATAAATTTTTTAATGTTCCTCCCTCCTTAACCATGGTGGATAATAAAGACACACTATGTCTCTAACGCAATACCATTGAATTGCAATACTTAGATATTGATTAAATTCCTGTTAATCAGTGCTATTTCGTTTAGACATGGTTTTTTCCTCGTTTTGCAATAAGGTTATTCATGGTATTAACTATATAGTGATGATGCCCTAACTAAAGCGTACCTAATTGACAATGCAAGAATTAGCAATTACAATTAGTGCTTAGGTACACTTAACGCAGACAATAAGGAAACAAGTTGGAAAGTTGGAGCGTTTTTGTGCGATAAATCGATGTTTTATTAGCTCTGAAATATAATCTACATGCAAAGAATTGTGGCAGAAAGCTAATGCTTCAAAACCGAGCTTCCTACGATGATTCCTTCAAGAGTTACACTAAAAACAAGTACCCTCTTTCGCCAATCCGTTCTTGAGGTATAAGGGAATATACCCGATCACGATAAGAAATCGAGGAGGAGGGCTATGGTTGGTAGAAATTAATTCCTCTCGTTGAGACCTTTCATTAGAGTACCATGAATGACAAAACTAGTTCCACTCCCCCCCGCCCCCTCTCCCTCCATCCCGTACTTTGATAAGAGGACAGAAAGAAGAGCAGTAGTTGATAGTTATAGCACAGAAATCTGTGGTTATAGTTTGTACAAACCAATTTATTTCTATGAGACCTTTCATTAGAATACCATGAAGGGTAGGTATGCCTAATGTTTTGTAAAGTAAAAGATATAAAATACTAGATTTAAATTGATTTAAATGCCGTTTAACAAGTATGCGTACTCTTGTACATGTGTATAAAGGCGGAAACACATTACTGTCACGTCACGTGAGCTCACCTGCTATCACATCAAGCATACCTTCGCGTAATGTCACGCTAGGAGACACACTTGTGTGCGCTCACGGTGTCGGTGTCGCGCGGTAGCTGTCGTTGCAATTTAAGATTTGTATTTAGTCATTAGTAGCGATGAAGCGAAGTAGAGATTTTTCTTCGTCAAGTTCTTCAGACGAGGAAGAGGATATAGAAAACGTGGCTGCCTTTACGGTGGCTAATTATGGAATACAGCGCAGTGTTTGGATTCACCACATAAATCATCGAAGAGAAGAAGTGGGGGAATTTCGTCAATTAGTCCACGAATTATTGAATGGACATCCAAGCCGCCTGCAGATGTATTTCAGAATGACCAAAGAAGAATTTTACTATTCTACCAATTTCCTCCCAAGCTTCTTGTCGAACCCTCTGAACCCGGTACTCAGCAGAGGAGTGATTGTATAGCCCTTCGTGCTGTCTCACCAGTTCAATTAAATGTTCGTCCATCTTTTCTTGACGAAACCACTTCGGAAAACACTTGACGTGATGTCACGTTCTACTACAAAATGTAATTTTGCGGGATATCGGAGGCGTGATATCATGCGAGATCAGAACAGCACGTCGTGAATGCGACAGTAGTATGATTCTAAATACATAAACGTCATAAACTTCTATACGTCAGTGGAGTTGCACATATTGCGCAGGTAACGTGAGTTTGTGTGATAGCACGTGAGCTCACGTGACGTGACAGTAATGTGTTTCCGCCTTAAGGGTGCGCAAGCGACGACATTGAGAAACAAGCTGTTTTTAAACATTCCACTTGATTTTTCATTAAAATAACGTAACACGTTTGTCGAAACTTGTATAGTAACACTATGCATTGGTGGGGGTTTAGATTCAAGACTTAGACCATATAGTACATGGACTGCTATTATCCCTATGCTTTCAATACAAAATGGGTGGTCACGGATAGAGGGCACTGTAGTCGTGGGTATGTGAATCTCAGGGTAAACTAAAGCCGTATGAACACCACTCGGATCGCGTAAAGAGTAGCTTTTATGGGAACCGCGTAGTACGGGAAGCTTTAAATACTCTTGATTATCTTCTATACGTCCATAAATACGGATAGGTTTGCTTTTTTGGCATATCCAGGCGATTAATTAATTGACGTTTGTTAATTTATAGGTTGACAGTCTCAAATCGTATCTAATCGGACAACTTCGGACAGACTCGTTTACCCTGAAACTCACATACCCAGGCGATGTCCTTGACCATATTTTCGTTTCAATTAGCAGTCCATGTACTATATGGTCTAAGATTCAAGAGCATTTGTACGTCTCGGAGCGATATGGGATAACTTCAGAGGAGAGGAGCAATTCTAGCAATATCACCTTAAGAAATCTTGACAGTTACTCGTTCGCACAACTTGATCTTATTCTCCTGCTCAGACGCAATTCCATCAAAGACAATTATTTTTATATAAGTGACAATGAGATTGGAGGAAGGCCTTCAAAGATGCGACATCGTTTTGTTGGAAGTGCAACAAATTTCCCTTCACGTTGCAAGAGACACATGCCTAGATTTCTTGAGGGGTGAGAGACGCAGTACACACACAGGAAAAGGGAAAACCCTCAACTAGGAAACAAAATCGTTTCTTGATGTGACATTTTTTATCAGTTTTGATAATTCCTCACCGAGTAAATCGGGCACTTTTAGGTACAATTCTCAAGAGTTTGAAATATTGTTTAGTTTTTAGTAATACCTACTTCCAATAAACCACTTGTTGAATTGCATTATCTTGAGTACCTATTTTTATTTATTTAAATCCAAAAACCTTGACAATACGTCAACAGTAGAAATAGGTAAAGGATAAGGATGAGAAACCGTGAACTATAGCCACAAAAGCAGTGCATGGTTTAGATTCTAGAAAGCCTTTTAAATAAAACTTGTTTCATTGCTTATGATTGCTTATTTCACATAAATGATGATACCTATACGGTATATACCTAGCTGAAAATTGTTCCGCTTCATTTTGTTCGCAACTTCCTGATGTTCATTTTGTGAACTCGCTGTTATTAAACAGTCGATCAATCACATGTTTGTCCACATGTAAGTACTTTACGACTAAGGGTTCTAGATGAATTTATGTGCACGAAAAAAAAACTTTTTAAAATTCGAATTCACGCAATTTATCCAGAAAGTAAAATTTTTGAGACCAGGCCATAGTTTCGTAAATTGTAGGGCAAAAAAATTTGTGCGCCCCTGTGCCAGGAACTTTTAAAAGAGATACATGTAAATGGTATAATAAACCCCTAAAGCAGATCTAAAAAAGGGGCAGAGCACCTCGGTGTGACCCCACGGGGTGTTGGATTTGGCCAATTTTCAATAGGCTTGTTACATGTGGCATAATCAGGTCAACTGTGAAAAGTTTAAACCGAATCGGTTGACAGTTATCGTATTCACGGACACACGAACAGACGGACACCATCGATTCCCCTAGAAAGCTGGCATCGCTTTACTCAGACAACTTTATTATAACACGTCGTTCAATTATCAGCAACCACATGGCTCGATGGACCGGGACGCTTTAAAATTTCTTCGTGATAATAATTTGAAATATGAGTGAATAAAGTATCTTCATTGACTTCATTTATATAAATTGTAGTAATGCACTTAGGTACATGATTAAGATTCAGTTGGTGACGTCGAAAACATTTGAACATGATAAATCTAATAATTAAGAACTCGTAGGTGTGCGTATGGTACGTTTATTAATTATGGTAAACATATTCTAATTAACAAAATACTTACCAAGCCCAAATACCAATATCTGTCACCTTATATAGTAATTTCCTTCTTACACAAATGCGTAATCAATTAATTCATCTTTAGACATATCTTTATTTTATAATTTATGAAAACGAGTTATTTTTAGCTATTGTATTTGCTGTATCCATGGAT